GTGTTTTTAAAAAGTAACTAAGTAACTAAGCAATTAATTACTTTTGAAAATAAGTAATCAGTAAAGTAACTGGATTACTTTCTGGGGGAAGTAATCAGTAATTAGTTACTGATTACTTTTTTCAAGTAACTTGACCAACACTGATTAACACATCCGTATTGAGGGGAAGAGGAACAGTTTGTGTGGTACTTCAGCTAGAATGAAAAAAGACACAAAGCTGGAGTTATTCTGTGTCTTTGCTGCACAGCTGTTTCTTCTTCTCTCATTCTCTCCCCTCCCTCTCCTGTTGTTACTTCAGTCATGAAACCGATCAATGATCAGCTGATCGTCTCTCTTGTTTATCGCTCACTTTGCACCAGAAAGAGGAAACCAGCGGATGTCGCGCTGAACAACAGCAGCACGTTTAAGCTTGATCAGCTGTTGTTAGAATTTATTTAATATTACTTTCTAGTATCAGCGGATGTTTGCTGGAAACAGCCAATCAGATTTTTTTGCATCCAAGTCTGTGATTGGCTGGTTTTGTGGCACAAATATAACGGTGTACGGAAAGTTGAGCGCACACGGGCAGAAATGTTGAGAGCGCGAGAAACACGTTGTGAGCGAGCGCAAATGCAAAAACTGAGCGAGAGGGGCTGCTGTTGTGTGTGTGTGTGGATAATAGCAAACACTGCAATACACTTTTTGCACGCAGCAATGAAGTTTATTCACTCAAATTTAGTTTTTCTTCGCTCAAAATAAATTTCTCCTCAAAATGCAAAACTTGCACCTGCAAACATTTTTTACATGCGCTCAGAATAGTGGCACAAAAATAACGCCATAGGTCCCTTAACAACTCAAATGATGTTGCATTTAAGTTGGAACAAAAACAGATTGTCACAGTGGTGCAAATGGATGATTGGCTCCACAAGTTCTTTCATGCTGCTTCTGACATTTGGTTAACTGAGGAGTGACATCATTCCAAGTCCTAACATTCAGCTTCCAGCAAAAGGAACGAAGCCCTGATCAGCAACAGCATGTTTTTTTTTGTTGTCGTCATTTCCCCCCCTATGGTACCAAAGTATCCTGTATATTAGCATCAAATGTGAAACTCTAGTATTGCGACACACCTAACGACCATCCAAACTGCTATTTTAAACATCATCATTAGCCCATTGACTCTGTATTTCTAAGGTGAGCTAGGCTAGTGCTTCTCATTTTCTATGCTAAGTTGGTGTAAACACACCTTGAGTCGAAACACAAACACATGTGTTCCACTCAGTAGTGTCTAATAAAGCATCTGTCTCTCCTTATTGAGTGTTTTACTATAGAGAAGCTGGGCCGCAGGCCTCTCATGATTGGGGGTTTTGCTATGATGGGTATCTGCAGTACTGGGATAACACTGGCCCTCATTCTACAGGTAAGTGTGTGTGTGTGTGTGTGTGTGTGTGTGTGTGTGTGTGTGTGAGAGAGAGAATACATATTTAAAGCAGTGTTTAACAAAAAGACTCATTTTCGCTTAGAGAAGCTACATAAATACTGTCAGACTTCTTCAATGTTCTGCTGTTTGTTCTCATTGCAGGCTCATTTGTCATTCATGCGCTACATCAGTGTCTGCTGTGTGGTGGGCATTATTGCTGGCTTCTGTATTGGCCCAGGCAAGTTGCTTTATACTGCATGTTAAAGGACTGGTTCATTTAAATGACAACTATTAACAGATTTACCTGTTCAAAGTATTATTTTGGTGTGGTTATCACATGATGTCGACAGAAGCAAAAAACGAAAAAATAAAAACATAAGAGCCAAAAAACAAACTAGTGATGGTACACATGTGCAGATGCATCAAAGCGGTGGCTGCCTGCAAAAATCTAACTGCTGCCCATTTCATATTTGACACTGATTAACTGGTTTTAACCCTCTCAGGCTCAAGTTTTTTGTTGCTAATGCACAACCAAGTCCTGCAGTGGTAAAAGAAACTCATAAAATATGTATGTGGGGTAATCAGGTTGTTAGTTTTTAACTGTTGCAAATCGGCAACGCCTGCCTGGAGAGGGTTAATATCAAGTAGACAACATTATGTCAGCAGGCATGGCATTCATACAGCTACAGGCGAAACGATTTTCTTTTTCCCACATGTTTTAGAAACCTTTGGAATTTTTGGTATGTTTAATATCCATTTAAACGCGTGTGTTTGGAAACTGGAATCTTTTACTAGCCAGGATTTGTGGATGGGTTATATGTGAACTATTGCTGGGCAGAGCCATGAACAATAGTGTGTTTAGAGACTCGTGCATGGTCTCAGATAAACAGACTGTCACTGATTGCTGCTAAAAGAGCTTTAAGAGTTATATAAACCAGAATGTAATTTAAGCTTTTGTACAGGTGGATGACAATAGTTTCTAGAGTAGTAAACAGGTGAGTGTAGTCTGCTCTGATTGCAGCTGATGTGTGATGTTATTCTGTTGTAACCTGTGAGTTGCAGGAGGTTTGGGTTGCTCTGTGTAGTGGTTGAACAGCACCCTCTGCAGGTCATGCCTTTAAAAATTTGTCTCTAATTTGTCTCTGAAAATCTTTTGTACTGCAGCTCTAGTTACATTTTCATTTATTCAGACATTTAAAAGTTTAATAAATGCAATTATTTATAAAAGTGATATGCATTCAAATGTTCTAATTTGAAGTTCCCTGACTGTATATTCGACTCTAGGTTCTAGGACCTTCTGTAAGAGAGACAAATAAAGCCGTTTTTACTGACTATAACAGTTAAATATTAATGATATGCATTCTTTGACACGATTCTCGTGTCCATATGCGGATTTTTAGGCCCAAAGGCTGTATTGGTACGAGAGATGATAAATGAACATGTATTATAAAATCATGAACATAAATAATATAATTGCTTGCACACACCCTGTTAATCTGCACATTAGTTTTGTAATAAAAACTCTGTTATCTCTGTGTTTCCTCTGGATGCTCCGGCTTCATCCAGGTGCATGTTATAAAGCTGCATATGGATGTAAGGTGGACAAAGTGCCTTATCCTGATCAATAATTGGAGCTATAGGATGAAGAACTTTGGAACTAGAGACCAAAAGAGTCAGATTGTGTTTGTTACTTATAAATTGTCTCAGATGTGAGACTAAATGACTTGTGAACACTATGAGAGCATCCAACAGCAATGTGTGACTGATGTTTGGTAAGTCCTGTCTTTTTCCTGTTGCAGCTGGAGTGCCGTTTCTGGTCACGGCAGAGTTGTTTAAACAATCTCACCGACCTGCAGCCTACATCATAGGAGGCTCACTCAACTGGTTGTCCAACTTCACTGTGGGATTCGTCTTCCCATTCTTACAGGTAGAAGCTATACACGGTCCTGGATTTCTTTACAAACGTAGTATGCAGAGAACTGATTGATGTAGTCCTCGAGTACCCACTTATCCAGGATCCAGTTTAGGTCTTTATGTTTTTAATAGATTCCTTAAGAATCTATTAAAAGCATAAAGTCAGGGAGCTGTTAAATCAGGGGGAGCACACAGGATGGAATAGAGCAGCTGTCAGTGACAGCAGACAGGATACTGGTGAAGCCACTAACAGCATGTGGAGGAGACCGGGGTAGTTCTAGGTTTCAAAGTGCTTCGCCTACATCGATCCTGCTAAATGAAGACAGAAGGACACCAGTGCAGTCACGAGCTGATGTGCTGCTGGCTGAGCTCGACTTCAGAACTAATGCTCAGTTTGCATAATGAGAGTAATGCAGTGTTACGCTTTGTTTTATCTCCCTCAAGTCGATATATCACTGTGAATGCCTCAGAAATCCTTCTCAGTTTCTTACTCCCTGTAGTCCAAGGAAACGTCAGAGTGTAAGAGTAACTACCTATTCTGACATACACAATGTCAGTTTACTCAAAGTGACATGGGTCACCTTTGATTTAAAACCAATTGTCCTTTTCTTTCTTTCTTCCATTTACCTGCAACACCAACCACCAGATGTCAGCCGGAGCTTACTGTTATTTAGTGTTTGCCACCATTTGTGCATCTGTTGCCGTCTATGTCTACATTGTGATCCCAGAGACCAAAAACAAGACCTTCATGGAAATCAGCCAGATGTTCTCGAAGAAAGAAGCAGTCTTAGAGACCCAGAGTCTGATCCATGTTGACCAGCTAAAGCTGCGGAAGCTGAATGGCTACGGTGGTCTAGAACATGCTTCGGTGGAGTTTGACAGCTCTTTGTCTGTACCTTAACTCAGACTTCACAGCCAATTCATTCCTTTGGTATGTACATTGTAACAAAACAACACCTCACCTGTACCCAGTGTGCTATAGCTGAGTGAAGTTATTCTGTCAACTGAATATTTATATCCAAGATTTGTAAGAAAATTTACTTCATGGGTGCTAATTCAAAAGTATTACTCTGGGAGCATGGTGACATCACAGGACTATACATATAGTGAAACAGCCAGACAGGTTGGAAACAATCAACCTGTATGGTACGCAGACTTAAGACAAATGTCATTACATTTGAAAAACCCATTTCCTCTTCGGCCTGCTGTAATGGACCAGACCTGCCTATGGAACGGACTGTAACTCCCAACAACCCTAGTTTGATAATTGGGTAAGAAAATAGACGAGAGTGTTATACAGAGTTTCAATGGTTGTTCTACACTAAAATACTAGTTTCAGTTTCCCTGAGGTACATTAGGTAAGTGCCCTTGTTCTATCTCGACCCAGCAAATAAATATGTTTTTATGTCAGTCATGATTTCAACCTTGATTATCTTGGTGAGTACGGTGCTATGAAAAATGTTAGCAGTGATGTACACAACTGCAAGAAATTGTAACCACAACTGTACTTAAAAAAATAATAACTGTTTTAATTATGTTGTCTGTGGAAGGGAAAGTATTTTCATGAAAAACTAAAATACAAATGACCTCTGGGGTCATGGAAAAACAGGTCATTTTCAAATGAAGCCCAGCTAGTAATTCTTCTGAAAGGTAAACTTCATTTCTCTCCTCACTGTAACCAGTCATTTTGGGTTCTACACTTAACCAAAATACAAGTGAAAAAATAATTGTCCCAGAAGGAGCTCAGACACCAGCTGTTTGTCCCTTTTGTGTGTCATTTTACATTTTTTGGGTTCAAGCAGCTGATGGTTGTTTAGGTTGTTAGTTTCTTACAACTGACAAGTTCATATTCTGTTTAGTCAGCATTAGCATGTGGAATGGGAAGCAATTAATTAGATAAGATCTTTGTTGGGACAAAGAAAACATGAGAGGATGAGATTGACGCAGCTAAAGGAGAAGTTGCTTTATAGAAATAATAAATATTAAACAAATTGTTATTTCTTTGATCATGAAAAACCTCAGATGCTGTGGATACTGTTACTGCTACTGCCCTTTTATGTATATTTTAAAAGATGCTTACTGCAGACAGTTTGGGTGGTAAATTCTGTAAATTGGCTTTTTAGCCAGCATGAGTGAAATGAAATCGGACATGCACAGAATAAACTGTCTTCCTTTCAGTAGGAAACAAGAGCTTGTAGACACAACAGCCTGTAAGAAACGGGTTGTGCACAGTACCACACACAGTACATGACAGAAATACATCTTTTTTGAATCTTTTGTAGTCAGTAAGTCACAATCTAAGAAATCCAAATAACAAACTGCATGTTGTTAAATGTCACCATTTGTTCTATATGTATATTACCTGATGTTAAACATGATGTTTTCTCAAGTTGGTCCTGATATTTTAGACTGTGTCATTACGCTGTGCTGGTTGAATTGTTTTGCAAAGTCTGCTAAAATATAATTTATACAGAAAGTGAAACTGTTTAAATACATGAAAATGTGTACATAAGTCTAAAAGTTGTGAATTGTCAAAAGATAACTACATAAATGAAGTCCTATACCACTGTGCTTTCTGTGTTTTCATTACCAAGCATAGTTGACTCATGTTCCAGCAGCATTGTACAGTAATAAGAAAATTATGCTACTAACATATCTAAACTGTAGGAAAGACAAAAGAATCCAAGGCACTGGATTTTTTATTCACCCTCAAAAACACAAATCTAACTCCCTGCTGACCTCTAGTGGTCAGAAAAGAAGTGTCTGCTAGTCCAGTCTAACTAAAAAAACCATTCTTGTAAACAATGTAAACAATGCCAAAATTATGAACATTTACACATTTTAAAAATATATTTAAGCACTGCTGCTTATCTTGGCCTATTACTACCTTCTGACTGCTGAAATAGTGTGACCCCATTAACAGAACTGTGCACCTGTACCCACACTTGCTCTGTTTGCATGTGGAAAAAAGCATCCAGGGGCCAACAATCCTCGTCTTTTTTATCATATACATTTAAAGTAAATTTCAATAACACAATCAAATGTGTGTTCAAGCCTTAACAAAATATCTGCTTTTCATTCACATATGGAGAGTTAAATAACTCAAAGATCTAGAATACCTGAAGCTTCAGTTTGGATTAATCAATTAACCTATCCCCACAAGCTGCATGTCTTTGGACGGTGGGAGGAAGCCGGAGTACCCGGAGAGAACCCACGCAAACACGCAAACTCCACACAGAAAGACC